AAATACATGTATTTTACCACAATAAAAATTAAGAGATACTCTTCAAGGATGAAAATTTATCACTATGACAGCAATAGGATGTGGGGAAGGGTTGATGGACTCCTCTTGTCTCCCTCTCTCCACTGACACCATCCCCTACAGCTTCATAACTGGTCATTGTCTCCTATCTGGGCCTTTGGATGCCTATTTATTCCGACTATTACTACCAAATATCCACCTGGCTATTTCCCTCCTGTCTTTTTTGGCTTCCATAGTTTCTGGTAAGAAGTCTGCTATATTTCCTATCTTTCCCCCCATGTATGTAATGCACCTTTTTTCTCTGTCTGTTTTTAAGATTTTCTCTTTATCATTGGTGATACCCAGTAATGAATTTATAAGAGACAGTGTTAGCGGTAGGGAGGGAAATGACAGGTCCCCACCAACCACATCTCATTGCTATCCTGTAATCTTCATCATTGAAGAGTATTTCTAGTTGTGAAAGGATACCGTATGGACCTGAAGACCCTGTTTTTCAAAGCTATGAGATAATGTAAGCGATAGCACACCATACACCAAAAGGCCACCTTAGGAAAAGAAGCAGTGGAGGGTATGGGGAAGTTATCTTGAAGACAGTTGTTTTTTCTAAAAGAGATGTGTTTTGTCTGGCTGGTGTTGCTCAGTGGTTGAGCATCAACCCATGAACCAGGAAGTCAGGGTTTGATTCCCTGTCTGGGCACATGCCTGGGTTGTGAGGTATGAAGTAGGGGTTGTGCAGGAGGCAGCCAATCAATGATTCTCATCATTGATGTTCCTCTCTCTCCCTTTCCTTTCCTCTCCCTGAAATCAATAAAAATATAAAAAATAAGAGTTGTGTTTCTTGTAGGACCCATTTAAATTATCTAATCAGATAAAGCTTAAAACAAGAGCAGGCAATCCTGAAAGGATCTATACTTAATAACACACGTTGGAAATCTATGAAGCAATGTGACTAGTGCAATGTCCTGGCCTGCTTGTCAATCACCTTCCCACTCTTCACATTATTCACATCTCTATCCAATGCTCCTTCCTCAAACAGCTCTTAAACTAATCATCCTACCCAAAATAGCCATTTCCTCAAACATTCTTTTTTTTCCCTCAAACATTCTTTACCTTGCTTTATTTTTCTTTGTAATACTTAATCACAAGATGACATTTTATCACTTATTGGTTACTTGTTTATCATCAGTTTCCTCCTCTAGAGAATAAGTACCATCTTCATTGTTTTATTCATATCAATTACTCAGAGCACAGATCAGAGCATATGCTCAATAATACTTGTTGATTGAATTTAGTTATGCATGGATTTACTTTATATTATTTATATGAAGTACATATTTAACATCTGTTGCACTATTGTGTTATTTAATCTGACATTAACTATCGTTTTCATTTTTATCAATTATCCACTCATTGTGCAATCACTTACCGAACCTCTACTTGGTGTTATGTATATAGTTAGCATGCAAGGTGGAGAGAGACCAAAAAGGTATAAAGTAAGACGTCCATAAAGAAGTCCCCACTTCCTGATGAATAAATTAGAAGTCCTTAGCAAGCAAAGATTGGACACCCAAAATCCAAGGGGGAAATCAGATTGTATGTTTTTAAAAACACTCCAGCAGTTAGGTTTGTGTCTATAAATGCTGCCTTCCACCCCCTCAAACAGCCCAACTCCCCAATTTTCCGCCAGAGCCATCTCCTATCCAGCCTTATTCAAAGCTCCTTCCCTGGAAACTGACAGCTGGGGAAACCCCACTGAGGCCCGCCCCTCCTGTTATCCTGAGTGGCGCAACCTGTGGGAGGGCCTGCGGGACCGACCAATGGGATGAAGCGGGAGCAGGAGCCTGGGTCAACAAACGCAGAGGTGCTGCTCCTGGGGCTCCTCCCCGCCGGACGCCCAACGCTTTGGCCCGATGCCTATCCAGGACGGAAAGAACCGAGGGAGCAAAGAGACAGATGTTATTACCAATCAGAAGCTGGTACTTCGGAGGGAGTGGGCGGGAACTACTTCACATTTAAGCCAATAAGCATCACACGTGCCCTGTTAGGTGACTGAGCGGCATCCTCTTCGGCCCAATAGACGAATAGGGCGGTGCCCAGCAACCAATAGCTTGGGTTCGGGGGCGGGGTGAGGAGTCAGTGCGCTTTAAGAGGCCACCTGGCGAGTGGTGGGGCGCTCCGCGGTGCTGTGGCTCACACTCCGGTTCGGGAGGCCGAGGCTGTGCTGGCGGCGGCGACCTCTGCGGCGGCGACGGCTGAGGCTCTCGGAAGAGCCACCGCGTGGGGTCTGAAGGAGGAGCTTCTGGTCAGCTCAGGTGGGCTCGGGCGCCCGGGCTGCTGGGGCGGGGACCCGCGGGCAGCGCCGCTCTCCAGGTTTCGGGGGCGCCCTGCGCCTCCCTTTCCTCCGCCCTCGGGCTGTGAGGGGCGGCGCGCGCCTGTCCGAGCTCCGGCGGGGAGGGCAAACCGGCAGGTCCCACGTCGCGTCAACTGCGGTGCCCCTTAGCCCCTTGGAGGCGCGGAGCTTCTTCGTCGTTTTTTTTCCTGCAAAGGCGCGCTCTCCATCTCCCACCCCCAACTTCCCTGGGCCCCCGCAGCCCCCCGCTGACACGGGGACTGACGTCTCTGGCTTGCGAGTCCCTTTCCTCCGAGGCACACGAAGCAGTGCGGCATCCCTTGTCCCCTTCCCCGGCGGGAAGGCGGGGACATGCGCACCGTGGCCCCTCCCCCATGCGCGGCCCCCCCAGTGCGGGTGTTGCGTTTCTTCTTCTGCTCCCACCACCCCTTTTACTCCCGCCCCCGTTCTTGCTCCCCAAGTTGCGTTAGGGGACTGGGCCGCTTCTCTTCTGCCTTCCCCTCCGCGAGTGAGTCCTTTACCCTCCTCCCACCCCCTAGATTTCACCCCCATCTCTCATGGAAACTAACATTTTCGCTGGTCCCTTCCAGGCAGCTGGAAGGTGAGCACCGGAGAAGCAGAAGACACTGTCCAGGGAAACTTTACAGTGGGAACTTGAATCGGTCCTGTTAAAGGTAAGCCATTCTTGTCTTACTTACAAATAGCCTTGGGTCGTTAATGTCCTCTCTAGAATCTTCGTCCCATACGGTTGTTTTGGTGATCATTTCTGAAAACGCAGGAGAGAAGGATTTACCGGCAGGGAGAAATTTAAAATGTGTTTTGTTTTGTTTTTAAGTAGACAGAATTGGATTGCATTTTAAACAGCTTAACTGGGTTGGCAGAGTTTGCAGTGCGAGGGCCTGACCACTCTAGTTGATCGTAAATTATAGAACTTACATGAGCACAGTGTGATCTGATCACGCCCAGCCTATGGATGATAATAGCGTTGAAACTGTTTAAAAATAACATTCTCTATTCTACTTTCACGAGAATTTGTATTCACCTTCATAGTGTATCATTTTGGGTTTCAATAGTGTTGATTGTAGCCATATGTTCTAGAATCTAGATGATAGTACAAACTACTAGTATGTTGTGCCTAAATAAAATTATGCCAAGAATTTTATGGGGGGAAAAAGTAACTCACCACACTTAGATTTGATTGAAACTTTAGAGTTTTAAAAATACTAACCTAGGTATTGCAGGGTTTTGTTTGGGAGATGCAGGAAATTGAAGTGTTGGGAAAAGTCTGATGGCTCCTTGGGCTGTGCATGTCTGAGAGAGAGTGCATGTGGAAAAGAGAAAATACACGTGTACAAAACCTTGTAGATTCTAACCGTGCTTAATGTCATGGCTTCACATAAATTGGAATTGTTTTTCCTAGTTCTCAGTGGTGACTTGTAAGCAGTGAATTTAATCATGTCCACACTGTTTTGGTCAGAACTTTGCACGTTTTTGTGAAAAATTCTTACTGTTTTTCTTATTCTGTTTGTAACATCTATATCAGTGTGCTTCCCTGTATTTTGCTATGGTAAGACTGTATCTTGTATGTAGAGAAGGAAGTCTAGTAGAGTGAGTTATAAGGGATCTTTACTATGACGAGGCATCATTGTTTGATGGACCATATGTTTGAGCCCTATTAATAAATCACACTAAAAAGAGGAAGATCTTAAAGCTATTTCAACAAATGCCCAGATGTTTAGAACAATAAAAAGAATTTCTGACAGAATTACTAGCAGTCAAAAAAGAAACGTCCTGGACAAATAACAAGCTTATGGGTGGGTCGCTATTGTGAGTTAGTATATAAGGCTGCAGTTGAAAATCAAAGTTATTTTTGTCCTTTCTTTTCATGTGGACTTGTACTTATAAATTACTTGTTTGCAGATTTAAAGGACTATAGTTATGATTTCTTCGTAGAGATCTTGCCTTTAAGGAGTTCATAATTTAATGGAAGACCTGCACACTAAGAATGAAAGGTAGAGGAAGTGCTGCAGGACAGGATGTGAACAGGACCCGGACAGGCACTGTGGCCCCTGCCACGTCTGCTGCTCTGGACGTTCTGAAGTGCCGTTTTCCTGGACCTCATGTTTATTTCACACACCTTGGCTTCTCTCTGTAGGTGCTGTTCTCTCCTCTGGAAGCCTTTTCCACAGTCTATGTGCCTGATGAGGTTCTATTTTAAAATCTTCTTGAAGTTTGCCACTGACCTCTACTCCATCCAAATAATTGTTTTTTTAATCTCTTTCTGTTAGTTTGTTATAAAGAATGACAGTAGATTCACATTATTCTCAGTGATTATGGTCTATAAAGTCACCTAGGTCACTAAATTAGCAAATAATGAACCATTGTTCTCGGGGAAAATAATCTTAAATACTAAATACACCTCATCCTGGTAGATTCTGTTTTCTTATTTTTAAAAAGAGAAAATGAGGTTCAGAAGTGTTAAGTGACTTCCCTGAGGCCACCCCCTAACAGGTGCCAGAGTTAGGATTCAAACCCTTTCCTGCTGGCTCCAGGGGCAGAGCTCCTTGCACTACACTACACTGCACTGCCCCCTACCGTCTGTGTCCTTTAGTCATCTCAATATGAGAGCTGAAAGAAGACAGACAGCACTGCCTTGTTCTGCCGTTGCTGGAAATTTTTGCCATTCTGTGTATGTCTGTAAATGACTGTGAAAGTGCCATTGATTTTAGGATTACAAATAAATTTTAGCAAGTAGGTGAATTCTTAACTATAGGATCCACAAATAATGAGAATCAACTGTACTTGTAAATGATCCCTGAAGTCTATTTCCTGTTAGCCCTCCTCCCTAAACTCCCCCTCCCCCCTGTCCACTGTAGATTCCTTAGCTTCTTTGAGAGTTCATTCACTTATTCTTTTATTCAACAACTTTTTATTAAGCATTTACTGTAAGTCGGGGTCTGGTCTAGACTGTGGTAAACAAACTAGAGATTAAGCTCCTGCCCTTATAGGTGTGTTATTTAAGTAAGAGGGACAGATAGCTAGCAGTCTGGAGCTCAGGGGAGAGGTCCAGGTTGGAATTATAGATTACAGTGGGGCCTTGACTTACGAGTGTCCTGACTAACGAGTTTTTCGAGATACGAGCTGTCTCTTGGCGGATTTTTTGCTTTGAGTTGCGAGCTAAAATTCGGGTTACGAGCCAGCTTCAGATACCCCACCGCTAGTTGGCGCAGCGAATGTCACAGTGATCGCCACAACATCGGCCCAGCATCAAGTGTCTCACTCGTTCACTTTTGATTTGACATACGAGTGATTTCAGTTACGAGCTCCGTCACTGAACGAATTAAACTCGTAAGTCAAGGCCCCACTGTAACTTGACCACAGTGAAACCTTTTGTGCCTCCTCCCACTTCACATCCCTTAGAATACTGACTTCCAGGACATTTCTGTTCTACTCTGTGCATAACACTTCCTTTTGAGCCAAGCCACGTCCTAGATTATTTCCTCCTTCAAGTTCAATCTGTCCTTAGTTAGGACTCTGAGTCCTGGTCCAGTCTTTTATGGTCAGAGAAGTAGGATTGGCCCAATCAGTGTGGTTTAGTGGTTGAGCATCAACCTGTGAACCAGAAGGTCACGGTTCAATTCCCAGTCAGGTCACATGCCCAGGTTTCAGGCTAGAACCCCAGTGGGGGGAGTGCAGGAGGCAGCCGATTGATGATTCTATCTCATCATTGATGTTTCTTTCTATCTCCCCTTCTCCCTTTCTGAAAACAAGAAAATTATATCTTAAAAAATAAAAAGAAGAAGTAGGATTGGTTTCATGCATTATCTGTCCCACAGATTATAGAATATACAAAAGAACCCCTTGGAAACAGTTTCTTCAGAAGACCATTAAGACTATGGGAGTCCTTAGTCTGTCCAATTGAATGTCCAATTCAAATACCTATCACATGATCATAGATAATGTTCAATAAAGCACCTAACAAAGTAACTGACACATGCCACAGTATTCCATAAATCTTCCTTTTGGTGTTGCATGTAATATAGTGCAGTTATTTGTTCATATGGCTGTCTTCCTTCCTAGACTGAGCTCCATGAGGCAGGATCCACATCTTCATTCTTCTATCCTTGGCACTTAGTTCAGTGCCTGTTATATAGTAATAGAGGCACAAGTGTATGACTTGAGGAATTTCTAACTTTCTGAAAGGATGGGAATATAGAAGGTTTCCTAGAGAAGGTATTTCTTAAGCTCATTCGTAAAGGATAAATAGGAATGTCTTCCAAGTGAATAAAAGTTGAGACAGCATGCTAAGTACGGACCAGCATGCGCAAAGGCACAGAGATATGAAAAGATAATAAGGTTGGTTACTGAACATTCCTAGTCGATTAAAAAAAACAAAACACGAAAAGCAAGCAAACGGAAATCACTTGAGGAAATAACTATGAATGGGCTTAGCTAGAGGGCATGTCACAACTGAGTTAACCATGACCGCAGCTGCTCAGCTATGAATGTAAGTTTTAGGGAGAAACTTTCTCAAGTAGTTGGCAGGGTATCAGTAACAGTTTAGAAATACAAGTATTGAATTCTGGGAACTATTACACTTCAGTGAAATTATTTACTTCATCATGAAACTTACATGTGTTCTATACTTTTCAAGGTTCTCAGAATATCAAACTGTATTCTGAAAGAGCTCACAAGCTAACAAGGAGAAAGATGGATGAACTGATTTATCATATGATAAGTGAGGTAATCTATACATATAAAAGGCTGATATGCAAAGTGTCCCCTCGGGAGTTTAAACGGGAGACCGGGAGTTTGATCGTTTGCTATGATGTGCGCTGACCACCAGGGGGTGGCGCAGAACATGGCAAACCACCAGTGGCAGTGGGGGAGCGCTGAGGGAGCAAGGGAAGGAGGAGGCAGGGAGGCGGAGAGCAGGGAACCTGATTGGCCTTGATCGCAGGCCAGGCCTAGGGACCCTACCCGTGCATGAATTTCATGCTCCGGGCTTCTAGTATATGAATAAAATGCTGTCTAAATAAGGAAAAAGGAATAGTAATATAGGAAGTGCTGGGGGAAAATTCTTCAAGTGAGGTGATAATTGAGCTAGGCATTGGTAGGTGAAGAGGAAGGAGTTCACTAAACTGAAATTAGGGATTCTTTAAAGAATATTTTGTGGTAGGAGAGCTTTAAGAATTACCCATTTTTGCTATCTGTTGTGGTTTTTATAAAAAAATATATTTTATTGATTTTTTACAGAGAGGAAGGGAGAGGAATAGAGAGTTAGAAACATCAATGAGAGAGAAACATCGATCAGCTGCCTCTTGCACACCCCCTACTGGGGATGTGCCCGCAACCAAGGTACATGCCCTTGACCGGAATCGAACCTGGGACCTTTCAGTCCGCAGGCCGACGCTCTATCCACTGAGCCAAACCGGTTAGGGCTGTTGTGGGTTTTAATTAATAGTTACACTTATTCAAACAGTTTTTATAAACACAAAATGTGAATAGTTATAATAGAAGAATTTTGTGTCAAAATAAACTTGTTTAACCAAAGGTTTCTGTAATGCTGGACTTCTCTAGAGCCTTTATTATATTATTGTCCATTGTGAATTGTGGATCTCCAAAAGGGGTACATTACATTTACCCATGGCTTCTCCTCCCTCCTCCTACCTCT